TATATATATATATATATGTTTGTAGTTTTAGTTGCTATATCAGATGTCTATGCCTTTTAGATTAAGAAGTCTTAGCTCATTTAGTTCCAACTTCTGGGCATCATCAACGAGATAATTAAGAGGCAGAATTTCAGAAGTACAACTTTAATGCTGTCATTACTGCGTACTATCTATTGCCAACAGTAACTCATACTTTTGCAATGAGAATTTAATATAAGCATGAAATGGCCCATATCCATAGAAGGTAATGTTTGCATATTTAATCTCATGAGGATGAATTGATAAGTGAAAGTGAAACAAGGAACAAAGCATCAATTTGGAAGGGTTCAAAAATTAAGAATCGCTTGAAATATGAAATTCGTCTCAAGCATTGATATAATGCATGATAAATGAATAGTAATATATTAATATTTTAATTTTACTTGAAGATCTAACACATTTATAAAAGAAGGAAAAGAGTTGATAGGGGAAACAACATGATTTTTAATGTGAAAAAATTTAGAAGGGGAAATACCACGGGGCTTATTCTAGTTGAAATGATTCCCCTATGTCGATGCAGGTTATAATACTTTATCAGTCTTTCACTACTAGAAACAATATTACACAAGTGGGGATTGTAGACATGGCTTTATCTAGAGGGTGGCTGAATACATTAGGGGTGTGGCAGCAATAATGATTGACGATAGAGGTCTTGTGTTAGAAAATCTGATGCCAGTGTCGTTGGTTGTGGAGGTGGTTTGACGACGTTCTAGTGGTGGTGATGGTTGTGTTCGTGCAGCAAAGGTCCGGTGGCGAGTAACGTCTTGTTGGTGGTGGTTCGGTGGTAGCGATGTTGGAGACCGAGAAGTGGTGGTCCTGCGGTGGCAGCAGCTAGGTGTTGGTGGTCCGCTGGTGGCGCTGGTGGTGGACGGGCAACGGTGGTCAGACACCGGTGGAGATTAGACAATGGTGGTCAGACACCGGTGGAGACTAGACAATGGTGGTCTGACAACGATGGTCTGGAGGCGACGAAAGCTAGACAACAGTGGCCCGACAACGATGGCAGTGGTCGTCGAGCAATGTAGTTCGGTGGCGTTGACAAGTAGCCATATGGTGATGTTCTGATGGCGACAACAGTGGTGACTAGATAACGATGTTCCAGTTGTGGGGATGGCCAGACAACTCTGGTCTGACGAAGACAATAATAGTGGCCAAGCAGTTTGGTAACATGATGGCAGCTAGATGACAGTGGCAATGTGTTGTAGTCGAACAATGGTGGTCCGATGAAGACGACGACCAAAAGGTGAACGACGGTTGGCTTTGATAGTGGCGACTGAGTACACATTATCTGGCGGCTACAAACAAACGCTAGTGGTTCGACAACGACAACGACGACTACTACTAAAAATTGGTGGTCCGACATCAACTACAAGATGGTGGTGGTTTGGTGACGGCAACGACCAGACGATGGTAGTGAAGGTGGTCAGAAGGCAGTGGTCCGACTATGGCAATGACAACCAGTTGATGGTGGTCCGGCTGTGGCCATGGTGGCGGTTAGACAATTGTGATCCAATGACGACGACCGGTGGTGTGGTGGCATTGATGTGGCGACTGAGCAACGATGATTTAGTGGCAATGACAATCAAACGGTAGTGGTTCGACAGCTGCAACGACGGTTGCTGCTATACCGTGGTGGTCCGACGACGATTACGGTGGCGACAACAAGATGGTGGTGGTCTGATGGCCGCGATAGTTGGTGCAAGGCTATAGTGGTCTCGTGGTGGTGATGGCCGGATGATTATAGCGATGGTGGCAAGAAGGCGATGGTCCAGCTATAGCGGCTACAACCATATAACGGTGGTGGAGCTCAGGAACCCTCAAGATTTTAAAGCTCATTCAGTCTTCTCCTCCAGGCCAAGTCCCCCTCATGAAGAAGGTGGGGGATCTAGTTATAGAGTTTGTGAGTAGCATCTTCCTTAAATATTGCATGACATCGAACTACCCCATTAGACTGCCCAGAGTGATTCTCATTGTCAGATGTAGTTTTATAAGCATTCAGACGCCTTGATGATGCCATAAATAAATGATCTTAGGCTTGTTGAGATGCTCAATTTAACTATAAACTTGTTAGATTTGAAAACTATTTGATCCCAAATAATAACTCAAAGCTTCTTATTATGCTTTCAATGCATGATTCGGGCTCACCTGGACTCAAAACGAACACTTGTTGATGTCATCTAGTTGATCTCTTTAAGATGCTTCATTTGATCATAAATTAGAATATGGGTAGTTCAAAATCTAATTTTTGAAGCTTCGAATTAAAATTTACATCGAGAATCATATAAATATATATATTTATATTTCTGGCGGTTTTCATTTTCTCTCTACATTCGGAAGATCTCGTCAGACACTACTAGAATTAATCTCAAGAACACAAATTTTTAATATTACAGTTTTTAATGTTCTTTTAAGATTTTCATACATACCACTTAATTTCAATGTATTTACATATTTAACGCCTTAACTTCCATTTTTACATACATGCCACCCATGAAAGTGTGTATTTCACTCTTTTTTATAGTTAAAATGGTGGTATTTTTGTGATATTAATGTAAAAGTTAAAATTTAAAGTCCCACATATGTAAATACATAAGGAATTGGGTGGTATGTTTGTAAATACTCCTTTTCTTATTCCATGCATCTTTTCTGCCTCTCAGGCTAGAAGGAAGAAGCCTGCTCGAGATATTGAGAGGGAAAAGACTAGCCTTTGTTGGCGATTCTCTGAATCGAAACATGTGGGAATCACTACTCTGCATCCTCAGAAATTCATTAAACAACAAAAATGGAGTTCATGACATAACCGGCAAGAATGGCTTCAGAAACGAGAACTTCTATGCCTACAGAAATACTGTCAGCACCCAAACCTCCTTTTTTAGCTCTCCCGACAATAAAAAATTCACCTTCATATACCAACTTTCTCACAGGAATACAACTGTACAATCGAATTCTTTCGAGCTCCATTCCTAGTCCAGGAATGGGAGACACGGAGCTCCAATGGCAGCCGAAAGGAGACCCTTCGGCTGGACATGATGGACAATACCTCTTCGTTGTATAAAACAGCAGACGTGATTATATTCAACACTGCACACTGGTGGACGCATGAGAAGACTTCTAAAGGGTGAAACTTTATTGAATCTGTATCTCTTCCCTGATTTTTTCATATGTAAGAATTTCATTAGCTGAAGCTTCAGAATTGCTGCAGGGTGGACTTCTACCAGGAAGGCGACCATGTTCATAAGAAGCTCAGTGCTGATGAGGCTTATCACAAAGCGCTGATTACCTGGGCTCGGTGGGTGGATGAGCATATTGACGCTAAACGCACCATTGTCTTCTTCAGGGGATACTCCTGGTCTCACTTCAGGTAATTTTACTAAAAAAGCTGATTTTTTAAAAAGAGAAATAAGCTAGAATGGAGCTCACTGGTGCTTCCTTGGTTTATCTTCCAGAGGTGGACAGTGGAACTCCGGTGGCAGCTGTGATGGAGAGACTTCACCTATTCTTGAGGACAGGCATCTGGCAAAATACCCAAACCTGTTGAAAATAGTAGAGCTGGTTATAAGAGAAATGAAGACTCCAGTTTTGTATCTCAACATAACAAGGATGACAGATTACAGGAAGGAAGCGCATCCTTCCAAGTACCGCTTCAAAGAGGAGAAGCGAAGGCTGGGAGCGAGCCAGGATTGCAGCCACTGGTGCCTTCCAGGGGTTCCTGATGCATGGAATGAGCTCATGTATGCTATGCTTTTGAAGAGATTAGGAAGGTGAGGCTGCGAGGAAGAACAGAGCTGTTTGTACATAGGGAGGAAGATGCAATACAGGTTATTTTGAAGGATCTGCTAAAAGGAATTTGGAAGACTTGAGGATGAAGGAATTTGAAAGCTTTAGATGATACAGTTGCTGTTACTGTAGCAAGGTCTCAGAGGGCTATAGTCTTGTGATTTGTATTGGGTGTTTCGTTTTATTCTGGTTGAAAGTTTGTAAACAGAACCAACAGGCGAAGCCACATATTGGAATTTTCTCACAGATGAGCCAAAGGTTATGATAGCATTTCACAACTTATTAGAATTCATTACATTTTTAAGATTTGGTGTTTGCCGTTTGAGATTTTCTTTGATAAAATTAATTACATATATCATACATGGAATGGAAAGATAATGTCCATCCCAAGCTGACACATGTTTTGTTGAATTTGAGACTATCCCATAAAGCACAAAATAAAGCACAGGAGAATGTGCGAGAGATAGGAATGATCCCTATGATGTGTACAATTAGTTGTCTAAGCCTATATGAAATAAGGACCCCCACAAGGTATTTTGGGTCATAACTAAATACAGCTACAGGAATAAGCGCTAAAATTGACGGTAAAACTGACGGTCTAAATTTACATCGGTAAAAATGTCTTATTTTGCGACGGTTTTATAATGATTTTGTGACGAGTTATTTTTGACGGCATAACATAACATGCCGTCACTTACCAATAGTAAACTTATTTTTTACGATTTTTATTATTACAGATGCATTATACCATCGGTTATAAACAAATAATAACTGACAACCTTCTTTTGTCGGTTATTTATGAACCCGATATTTGGCGGAATGTTAACTGACGAGGTTTCTTAATAAGCGACAACAATTGTCGTCGGTATTAATGCTAATAACTGACGAATTTTAAGCCGTTTGTATGTCATTGGAAATAATCCCTTATAAAGAGGAAATTGCAACGCCCCAGTCTTGCCCTAATCCTCTCCCCCTCGGTCTCGGTCTCGGTCTCTCCCTCGTGCCCTAATCTTCCCGTCCTCTCTCCCGGTGACTCCGTGCCCCGGCGACGTAGCTCCGACAACTCCACCGCTCCGACGCTCACAGGTATGGCCAACCGTCCTTGTGTTTTAGTTATGGATGCTCTTACTTGACATTTACATGAGGATTTACCTTGTTATATGTTTTTTTTCGTTGATATTTTTCTTGTGGATGAGACTAGAGAATGAGTTTAATTAGCAGCTGTTTGGTACAGATTTATGTAAGATTTAAGCTAAATTATGCCAAACGACAAAAAATGCCTCTATGAACCCACCTCTTGAGTCATGTCCCTGTGGCCTCTGAACTTTTTTTTTTTGGGTCATGCCCTTGCGGCCTCTAAACTCATTCTTCGGGCCATGCCTCCGCGGCCTTTGAACTCACCTTCTAAGACTGAATATGAGTCTGAAGGCTTTCCTTCCAAGTTTATTTAGTCCTTTCTTTGGTTAACTTGGTTGCGTTAGCGCCATAACTAACCTTAGTTTAATAAAAAATTGGCTGCTTTCAACAAGTGCGCTATGCCTCGGTGACATAGCACATTTGTTTGTGATCCTTTATTGATATCAATTTTTGATGTCACACATGTTAGATGTCATTACATATGTTATGGAAGTGTTTCCGAGAGAATTATGGTTTAGAATAACACACCAGCATAATATTTTGGGGCATTTTTTGGTATTAAAATCTCTAAATTAATGCCCATAAAAATGCTTATGTTTGAAGTTATGAGAATATATTTTAGTCATATTTATTTTTTTTGTAGCTTACCGATCGCCAAAACCCTTCGTCGGAAACTCAAGGCGAAAATCGAGGCTAAGTGCCTAGTATAGCCCCCACGGGGCTTAAAACCAAGAAAACGGAAAGTAGGCACCAATCCCGGGCACCTAGGCACCCAAAATAGCTCTAGAACATGCTTGCTTGCATGATCATTGTTATTTGCTTAGTTGCACATCCCTTTGGGTCACTGCCTCCTGGCTCTTTGGGCAGCTACCGCCACGACATGACCATTTCCTTTGGATCATTGCCTCATTGGTATACCATTTTCAGGCCGCTGCCACCAACATCCCGAAATTGAAACCGCAAAAAGTTGTTTGGGGAAAGGGAGGGGGTGCGTCTTGGCACCGGACTCAATGTTTAGGCGTTAGGGACCCAATGCTCAGGCACCAGGGACCCAGTTCTCAGGTGCCAAGTTTAGTGCCTAGGCGCTATGCCAGTTTCTGCTCTACCTTTTCTCAAAATGTTCACCTGACACACCTCCCTAAGTAGCCAAAAAGTGTTGATTTCTTGGATTGTGTGGAGATATTCCTATAGTGGAGGTAAAATGGATTGATGAAACCTTTTTTGGCCTCCTTTAGAAGGTTCTTGGGAGGGGTGGCAGCCCATTTTTTGACAAAAAGGAGGAAATTTGGAGCTGAAGAGTTCTTTTCCTTAGCTCCTATGAAGAGAATTGATCTTTAGCACTTTGGTCTTCTCTAGAGAGCTTGAGCTTCTTCTTCCTTGGTTCCCTCTAGAAAGCTTGGACGGCTAGTAATCTTCTTCCCTCGAGTGCTTCTTCTTCCTCTTATTGCTAGAGAAAGCATGGAGGCTAGTTTTCCTTGAGGTTGAGAGCAGTAGAGAAAGGTGAGAGAAAGGGGCCAGCATCCTACAACTCCCTTTTTCTTCTTCTTCTTCTTCTTCTTCTTCCTTTTTCATCAAAAGAATAGCTTCTTCTCCTTCATTTCCCCTTCCTCCACCATAGACTTGAGTGTGTGAGGGAGTTTCTTGAAGAAGCTACTTTTGGAGGACAAGGAGAGTGTCATCTCTTCTAAGACAAAGGAGAGTTTCGTCCTAGCAATGTCGCGGTGTGGACAACTAAAAAGAACACTTCGATCAACTGTCACATGGGTAAGTATCTCTAAAAAACCTTGCTTTTTTCATTCCTATAGTCCTCTAAGTCTGGATGCTAGAGGATTTAGGTTTGGATTTTTTTTTGCATAGAGGAAAATTCATAAAATTAACTGCTTTGTGATTCCTCTATGAATCCAAGAGTGAAACTTACTCTTTCTTTTTTGAATTTCAAAATTTTGAAGACAAAGGTTGTACTAATCCCTCTATTTATTACGATGTTTTCATCTAGATGGACGTTTGAAACCTTTGAAACTTGCCGACCGAGAAGACGAAGAGACTCCTTTGATCTTCATCCTCTCGATCATGGAGAATCCTCTGCGTGAGAGATTCCCATCTCCTGTGGTGCAAATAGAGGTGGACATCTTGTTGCTTCACACAATAAGGCATTAATACACCTCACCATCATCTACCCAAGGAGCCTATGAGGTCTTTAGGATGAGTTCAAATTCATAATTGAGCATGATCAAATTTCCATTTTATGCATGTGTTCGCATTCGCATTGTGTGCATTCCATGAATTTTAAAATTGCATCAAAACTTTCATGTTTTTGTATGTTTTTGTTGATAAATTGTCCACCCTACTAGCTCAATCGATTATCCCTCTGTTGGCTCGATCGATGGGTTGTTGTCGGTCTAGTCGGTTCATCCGACCGCCATCCATTAACTCGATTGATCGCCCGCTTAATCGATTTGATCGACCACCCCCGTCGCTTCGACCGATCGGCCGCCACTAGCTTGATCGGCTCAATAGACCATCTTCAATCTATTCAATTGATTGATTGCTATAGGCCCGATCGTATCGATCAATTGTCCTTCACTGATCGACCTCCCATGCATGCCCGATCAACCATCTTTGGTCTAGTTGATCAATCGACCACCACCGGCCTTGTCGTACCAATCGATCATGCTTTGTTGATTAGTCAGCCACACTGGCTCGATCGATCCTCTTCAATCTGTTCAATCGATCAGTCATCATCCGCCCAATTATATCGATTGACCATCCTTCACTGATCGGTCACCCATGCCTGCCCAATCAACCATCTTCGTTCTATTTGATCGATCAACCACCACCGACATAGTGGTATCAATTGACCATCCTTCGTCGATTGACCGTCTATTTCAGTTTGATCGACCACCTTTGTCGCTTTGACCAACCGACCGACCTCCACAGGTCTGATCTTGTCGATTGTTTATGCGTGAATGCTGCATTACTGCATGCTTATTTCATACTACTTACGCAAATACATTCGCACCTCACACCTTGTTATGCACCTGCAAGCATATGCCCTCATATGCTCATAGTGGGCATCTGCCCCATTTTGGCAGGTTACTTTGTGCCTACCTCGTGACATCCATATGCCATCATGCACCACATCACCATTGTGTTGCACTTACACTCATGAACCTTTGCATGTTTTCTTGCATAGCATCTTGAGTGCTTGCATTTCACACGCTTGTGGTTTGCACTTCAGTCACTGTTCTCACAAACTCATCTTCGACACTCATATGTCTCCTATGAAAACGGCTTGCACGCTAAGCCTGCCCATTGTGTGATTCTCCCCTGACAAGAATCACACTTCTTCACCTTCTACGGCACCGCTCCATACTCTTGTAGGCGTTTTCTTGAGTAACTCCTTCTCGCAAACTCATCTTCGACTCTCACGTGTCTTCTCTTGGGACGGCTTGCACATCAAGCCTACTCAGTGCATAATTCTCCCTAATGAGAACTACGACACCTTTCTTCCTATGGAATTACTCATATGTATCATAGGTCTCTCACGTCATGTCACTTTACATGGTTCACGTCTCAAAGGCCTTTGAATCCTCCAAGTGCACAAAATTTGTCCGCTTGGGCACATGGCTACCACTTGAAATGGATCACACTTTAAAGGTTTCTGAATCCATTCTGGCACAAGTCATGTTGCCCATAGCACTAGCTTGGTATGTCATATGTATGTCATATGTGTTGCATGTGCATGTTACTTTCTTGCATGTTTGGTTGTTATTAGAGCAAGGTGTAATTCTCCCATGTGAAGTCTTATAGTTTGGTAGCCAAGTACCACATAACCCATGTGATGTGCTTTACATTCACATTTTCAAATGTCAATGCATTCATCATTAGTATATGTTTTCGTATACTTATAACAAATATTTGCTATCTCGTGGTCACTTCTACCTCGCTAGAGCACTCATAATGCATTGAATCACTTTTCACCTGCATGCGCATTCTTGAACATCTCGACAAAGAAACTAGCTCGTTAGTTGAGTGACTCGTTGTTGATCATGTTGTGTTAGCGAGTATTGCCCACGAGATGTCTTGGTGGGCAATACCAGCTATCGCTAAGTGTATGTCGTGCTATGGTTCCAAGGGGTCTAGTAG